TTTTTTTTTTTGGAGACAGTCTCACTTTCTCACCTTTGGCAGAGTGCTGTGGCATCACAGTTCATAGCAACCTCAGACTCCTGGGCTTAAGTGATTCTCTTGCCTTAGCCTCCCAAGTAGCTGGGACTACAGGTGCCCACCACAATGCCCAGCTATTTTTTTTAAGACAAGGTCTCACTCTGGCTCAGGCTGGTCTTGAACCTGTGAGCTCAGGCAATCCACTCACCTAGGCCTCTCAAGTGTTGGGAATGTGAGTCACTACACTAGGCCCAATACTGATGGTCTTTAAAAATATTTGTTAGCCTTTCCAGATTTATGTCAACTAAAGATTTAGTGGATACATTTTCTCTCTTTATCCCAAATAAACTACATGTACTCATCTAGAGATACCTGCTGATAAAAGTATCACTCTACACTGATATGCAACCATTCCAAAGCATTCTTTTTACATCATGAGCATTCATTCACTTTGTAACTAAGTTATTAAAGTATCTTTTTATTTTATTTTTGTTTTTTTCAGACAGAGTCTCACTTGTTGCCCTTGATAGAGTGCCCTGGCATAGTTCAAAGCAACCTCAAACTCTTGGGCTCAAGCGATTCTCTTATCTCAGCTCCTGAGTAGCAGCTGGAACTACAGGCACCCACCACAACTATTTTTTTAAGAGATGGGGCCTCGCTCTTGCTCAGGTTGGTCTCAAACCTGTGAGTTCGGGCGATCCACCCACCTCGGTATCCCAGAGTGCTGGGTTTACGGGTGTGAGCCACCACACCTGGCCTCTATTCAAGTATCTTCACAGTTAACAGAACTACTTCATTTGGTTTGTGACAGCAACAGGAGAGACTTCATCACATGCCTTCCGGATTGTAACTATCATTTCCCAGTTTGGTAAACTAGGTCATAGCTATGCCTGCCATACAAGAGACACTACAAGCAAGTGCTATGCCTATTTAGAATTATAGCTTAGTTCAGCAACCACTTGCCGAATCTTATGTGAGAGACACATTGGGTTACTGAGGTAACTGAGACACGATACCCTGCCTTTAGTCTGTGGATGAAGGACAAACATAAACAGTTCATTAAAATAAAATGTGATGGGTATAGTAACTAATAAGGGTGCATTCTGGATAAACCAAGAGCAAGGTAAGGTTCCTTATCCTAATCTTGTGATAGGAGAGTGAGGAAAAGAAGGCTTATTAGAGACGAAACTCATGAGTGGGAGGGCAGGCTAGCCAGAGGAGAATGCATGAGCAAAGGCAAGATGACAAGAAACAGCGAGATAGAACTATAAGCATTTGTGTTGATGGAGTAAAAAGTAAGAGGCAGGGAGTAATAAGAAATAAGGTCAGAAGATAGGTAGCTGATTATGGCTAAATGCCACATTAAAGAGTCTGTAAAATGAAGGGGATCATTAAAGATGCTTTTTAAATTTTTATTTTATTTACTTTTTTTTTAAGAAACAGTTTCATTTTATTGCCCTCGGTAGAGTGCTGTGGTATCACAGATCACAGCAACCTCCAACTCCTCAGCTTAGCTGATTCTCTTGCCTCAGCCTCCCTAGTAGTTGGGACTACAGGTGCCCACCCCAACATCCAGCTATGTTTTTGTTGCAGTTTGGCCAGGCCTGGGTTCGAACCTGCCACCCTTGGTATATGGGGCCAGCACCCTAGCCACTGAACCACAGGTGCCTCCTGCTTTTTTAATTTTAATTTTCATTTTTTTTTTAGACAGAGTCTTAAACTGTCATCCTCAGTAGAGTGCCATGACATCATTGCACAGCAACCTC